CACCTTTTCCACCACCTTAATTGGAGTTTCCATCAATGATCGCTTGAAAGAGAAATACGCTGCCACGGTCTGCTTACAGTCTGGCTTTTTACTGATGTTTGATGAGAAGGAGGTGGAAGTCAGGTTTAGATTCATAACAGGGGGTCTTTTTTAAAGCTCATCTAAATAAAAGGTCTCAATTGATGTGGTCATGAAATACATGAAGGTGTGTTTTAATAAGAAGATGGAGATTGTTGAATGAAAAGAAATCAAGAATAAATCACTAAATATATTCACATGTAAAATAGAAACACTCATGTAATATGATCATTTTTCCACTCAAGGAGACAGGGTTACTTTTTATAACGAGACATTTTCTCTGTTTGCAGCACAGTCAAAGCTCACCTTTAACCTGTAACACCTTATCCACTCACTCAAGGTCACAGCAAGTCCAAGAAGAATATTTTGTTTGTCACGTTAGTTCATTCTGTTATTCATCCACGAAAGTACGACTAGTCAGCGGTTTTGAACTTATAAAACACATGATACCCATTATTGCAGTTCCTAAACCATGATATGTGGTCTTGACATCCAGCAGTTATTATTCCTCAATATTGCTGCTTGTCAGTTTAGGAAAATAAATTGTTCACCTAACACCCAACCCATACGAAGCATGTTTGATGCAGGTCTTGGGACAGAGCCATGTATGTTGTAGCTGGTTCGTCAGGAGCTAGGAGCACGGCTCAACATGTGTGGATCATTTTAGGGGTTGGGGGGGGGGGGGTGAAATAAGGTGTATGGGCAAAGAAATATGTTAAAAACACCCCCTAGATTGTCTCAAAACTGATTTATTACACGTGTATCTCTTATTATTGCAGATCTAAAGAAGTCTAGCTGCAATAACTGCAATGGTGTGTCAGTGGATGCGTTAAGACAACCCGCCTCAGCAGTGCAGGAATGTAACAAAGAGACATCTTAGGAAATTAGAAACTGGTGTCAGTGAGACCAGCTGTTTCCGCCTGTTTTAGGTTTTTGCTAAGCTACGCTAACCAACTGCTCGTGTCATGTGTTCAGCGAGTGGTATCGACCTTCCCCGTACAACATTCAGCAAGCGGGCCCAGAGGCATACCCACCAGAACTATTCCCGTTCACTCCACGGTGTGCTGCCACTCCACTACAGTTCAGGATGACGTATGATACTTTTCACATACGTATCTGAGAGATACAGTTACTACGAGTTAAGATTTTACATACAAAACATGGTTGATCTTTTTTTTTTTTTAATTAAAGTATTATTTAATTATTATTAAACTATACTATATACAATTTTAAAATTAGCACCACCTTGACCAACTACAAAAGTAAAAGGCTGCTCATTAATTAATGCACGATGAATTAATCAATAAAAAGATGTATAACAGGGAATGTTTCAATGCATTGAGTACTTTTATATTTGATTCTTTAAATGTAGGGGTCAGTAATCTTTAAAAATCTGTATATTATATTTGCTGAAATTGTGAACAGCAATCAATAAATCAAATGATCTGACAAAAAAAGGAAATATGAGTATTTCTATTTTCCCCCCTTTGTTTTAGGAGAACAAAGTTAATACTTCTACTACCTTTGGTCTCTCTGATATAGGAGCCTGCGGGCATTGAGTCTGAACCAATAAAAATAATAATAATAATAACAGAATCAGATCACACATCTATAAACCAGGCTGATGGGAAGGTAGATGCAAGAAGTAGGGGAATATTGTGCGAGGTAGTAAGAGAAAAAATATATGGTGGCAAAAAAGTTGGGATGGAGTTTTCCCGAGGCCCCAGAGGTCTCCTACATAATAAATCCTCAGCACATATTTAATCGAGAGCTAAAGGATGCACACGTATAACTCACAAATCCACCTCTGAATGTGCAATTCAATTCACATCCCCCGAAACTCCACAGCCCGTCCTCCACCCAAACAGCGGGCGCTACGGGCTATCAGGGAATCGGACCAGGAATGTGAGTCCTGACAGGCACATCTCTCAGGACCACAGACTGAATATGTTCCCAATTAGCTGCATATGATAAAGTGTGAAACCCAAAGCGGGCACGATCAGTAGCACTTGACTCATTTTGTCGGACGGGTTTGACATTGACAGGCTGCCCTGTGATTTATCACCGTGGTGCTGCAGATAATTGTTCAACCGCATAGTCCTTTGTAGGTGTCGTTGAACTCGCACAGTCATGTCTGTAGTGCTTTGAATATGGCTCTTCGGTTTCAGTTCAGCATTGATTAATCTTTTCTTGAACTGGCATCAGTTCGAAGGCCAACTTTCCATTAATCGGCCTGTCACTTATTTTACAGATGCGGGGATACAGACCTTTTTTCTTGAGCATTTTCCCCGTCTACCTGGACCAGAACTGCCATCTGCTGTTCACCCCGCACACTGCAGCAGAGTGAGTTCCCTGCATGGTGGCTGTTTCAGTGGGGTGAACAGTTTGATAAAAACGAGGGCCGTGGTGGTTTCACCCTCATGCCCACAGCTGGATGTTTTTAGGTGTGCCCGTCCAGGGTTGCTGTGACGTGAGCACCGGAGATGAAACAGGCCTCCCCCGGTGCACACAAACACAGCGCTGCACTCCCGGCCTTGTGTACGTACAGCTGGTGGGGATGACACAAGAGGCACAGGGCTTCATCGAGTCAGGGCAGTGCTCTGGCAAAGCTCAGCCCGCAGGGCAACAGAGGAGAGCAGGCCGCTTGGCCGATGCTGTGGGTCTCTGTACGCCGGTGTGTTGTGTGTGTGTGTGTGAGTGTGTGTGTGAATGTCGTGAGATGAGACCTGGCATCCCCTCAACTCTCTCAAAGTCTCATTAAACTCAGCGGACTCTTTGTGGAGAGATTATTATAGATATTGCCAATCTATAAAGCCACGACAATGGCCCGAATAAAAAGGGTTGAATATGTCTTGTCCAAGAAGCGGTGTTAATCAGGTTGTCGCTTGTCAATGTTGTCTCGTGATATCCTGTTTTATTTTGAAAACTAATCTTCCTCTCGTTTAAAGCAACTTGCTCTTCCCCCCTGTGTGCCGGTCCGATTGTCCGCCCTGCACCTGATTGTCTCCACCTGTGCCCTTACCCTGTGTGGATATATTGTCTGCGTCTCCCTTTGTCCTGTGCCAGTTTATCTTGTCCCATGTCACAGAGAACCCTGCGTGTACCAATGTCCACCGTCAAGTCTTGCTACGTTTTTTTTGTACCTTGTTCAGGCTCGCTTTATGTTGATTCCCTTTTCAGCTTATAGTGTTTATTTTCTACATCCTTTTGTTCTTAGATTTAGTATAGTTTTTTTTTCCCTCTAAGAGTGATTTACATTTGCTGCCTTTTGTTAATAAACTATTTTATAACATCGTCTGAGCAGTTGTGCATTTGGGTTCAGGACCATTGTCTGGTCGTCTATCGGCACGTCTGTTATTCTCTTTAATGCTGCCAGAAAACAACATATTTGAAGAAAAGAAATTGGCAGGTTTGACAGTCATGAATTGAATTATTTTACAGTGTTGTGGTTTGTGAGACTCACAAACAAAGAGGAAGTAAAATGTCACCAAAGGACAATGTAGTTTACAGAGCTGCTTCCAGTACTCTCCTTTTATGTAGTTACCATATTTCATTATCAACACATATCTCGCCTTGATTTGTTGTTGAGACCACCGTGTAGGACTTTTTTCTTTACAGCCATTCCTCAAGCATTACCTAATGCCACACTGATGATCCTTTAATCTGCAGACCTCCAAAATAGCAAAGGCCCAGCATCCCTCTGTGTGCCTTTTGCAGTGTATTCTCATATGTATTGTGGGTTATAGTTTGCCAATAAGTATCTTTTTCAGCATAAACGTCATGTCAGCCTGGGTGGGTCTCCTTCATCTATGAATAAAGTGCTGTCAGGCATCATCCTGAAGCTTCTGTGCTCTGCTATCTCACTTTCCCCCCCTCTCCTCCTTTTCTCCTTTGTCTTTGATGCAAACTGACTATCGCATTCTTCACCCACTTTATAATGCCAGTTCAGGCTGATCCTCTCCGCCGCTAACACGGTGTGGTCAGGCGCCTTCGCTCACAACCTCAAACCCATTCGCAATTCATGGCTTCAATTATTGGGTTTATGTCTGTAAAGATAACTGGGGATGGCAGGGGGTGTGCGACGGGCACTTGTGGCGAGCTCAGAGCTAGTTGACGGCTGGCAGACGTAGAAACACTGGCTTTGAAGACAGGCAGCAATAAGGGGAAAAGCCAGAGACAGTGAATGATTTGGCCAAAAAACATCATGCAGTCATTAAAATCCATTTCTTTCGCTTCTCTCTCTCTATTATCCGCACTTTTTGCCCTTTTAGGAAAGTTTATTTTGAATAAAAATCTGGCTCCCATATTGGATTTGCAATAAGATGTAACAGAAAACAGAATAATATTCAGCAGCTCTCACTGACCACTGCAAAAGTACAACGATAAATGATTAATATATTATCAAATGGATGGTTGGAATTAATTAAGTAAAATCTATTAGCGCGCTACTTCATAAGGAAATACTGTTATTCTATATTCTCTTAAAGGATATAGTTGTGTCCCACTTTCATATTCACTATCTGCACCTTTATAGTACTTTGTTGTTTTGCAGTTGGTGGACCATTATAACCTGCTCTACTTTCTACTGACAGAAAATGAAAAAATGTGTGTCGTCAAAATGCGGCACATGGAGTAGAGAGGGTGCACCAGGGGTTCGAACCCTGGTTGCTCCATGTCCCAGGTCGAAGTGTCCCTGAGCAAGACACCTGACCCCTAACTGCTCCCCGTGCAAAAATGTAAAACCATGGGTTGTACCATGTAACTAAGACTAAGATGACCACAGCAGGGTCATCTTAGTTACACTGTGACCAAGTACATTTCAAATGTGCTGTGTATTATGCGCATCCTGCGAGTTAATTTACTTTTTAATGCACAGATTTCTGATTTATATGAAACTCCCAGAAGGACACTTACGGCAAAGATTAAAACGGTTTCTCCAAATTCTCTGAAATTTATTCAATAGTAAATGTCCAAAAAGTCGATGGTGCATGTCCGGCGTGGTGTATCCGTTACAAAAAGACACATCTCCAAAGTCAGTAACATTAGTTTTGCATGCGATCCCTTGGTCACCAGAGGGCGCCTCTATTTCCACCTGGCAACGCAGCACAATCAATCTGACAGGGACCTTTCAAAAGGGAATGCGTATCGCATGCATACCCTGAAACAATTTACAGGTCTGTTAATTCCTAATGAATTAAAAGCTTTTATAAATAAATCTGTTTGCCAGGGGAGATTGTCTGAAGAGAACAACAGATATTTAGATAGTCAGTCCAGCGGTTTCACTAAACATCCAAACATGAAAGTTGTCCGCAGGAAACGTACGATTTTAAACAAAGGGAGAATTCAAGCTTCCAATAATAAATGAATTTATATAATTGACATTTACTTTGATTTTAAATGGAACAACTCCTTTAAAGAAGTATCTATTTTAACTATAATTAATACCATATCTCATTTCTCAGGAAATTAAGAATCATAAAAAAAAAAAAACACAAAATTTAACAGATACGTCTGACCTGATTAAACAGTGTTGGACTAAAATAAATTTGACAAAGATTTGAGTTTGTTCGTTGCTAAAGATAAAATTCCAGTGTATAAAAAACAACTATTATTGCATGTTTAAGTATTGCAGTATTTACGTTTTCGTCTTTGCATTTAAGGATGAAGCCTATGATTAAAAGCTTTCTGTCATTGCTGGTTCAGTTTACATTTGTCTCCAGCAGGGAGCAATGCAGAGGAGTAGCCTCTCCTTTCTGGAACATAATTTAACAGTGTAATGCCTGCAAAGGCTACACAAAGTCCATTTCCTCAATGGTTTATTCCCCTTTAAGAGGAAAAAGGCAGGGTGACATTCTTCATTCTGCTAAATCATGTTGTTGTGGTTGAGTTTGGTCCATTCAAAGATGTCCTGCTCGCACACAATGTCCGAGTTGATGAGCAGGTAGCGGTCACCCACGCAGAAGTGCTTCTGGCAGGCGGCACACTTAAAGCACTCCAGGTGGTAAACCTTGTCCCGCACGCGCATCGTCATCTCAAACGCTCGAATCCTCTTCTCACAGGAAGCACAGAGACCGTCCTGACCGAAAAGCCTAAATGGATGAGAAGGTTCGATGGAGAACATGAAACTTGAATAAAAACAGAGTAAGATTGTTGACAACACACCTTTAAGGTTAAAAGTTTGTTATTGTCAACCAGCAGAAGTGCAGTGAATACATATATATCAGGAACACAGACATATACATGTTGGTCTCAGTAACTATCCAACGGATTTATTAAATCCTCATAGTAGGACAACGTTGGACCAACCTGAGGTAGTCTCTCCGACATAATTTCCTTCCCAGCTTGTAGTAGAGGCGTCGGCCCACCTCCCCGAGTCGACAGCCACACAGGTCGCAGCTCAGGCAGTCCTCGTGCCAGTACTGCTCGATGGCCTTCAGGAAGAATCGGTCACCGATGCTCTGCTGACACCCGCCGCACGTCAGCAGAGACGGTGGCATCTGGAGAACCTCATCCACCGGCTCGCTGGATGACAAAGAGCACTGATGAGAACATCTGACACTCTAGGACATATACACCAAAATATTGTTTTCTCAAATAACTTAATTACCTGGGAAGGATTTAAAATGTGCGTTAACTGGTTTATATTTTGAGCTTAAAGCACAGCCATGATCTTGAATCGTCATTTATTAGTCTACTCATTCTAAACTGTTGGAGGGAACTTGTGCAATTGCAGTTGGCTGCTGTCCACCTGAGGGAGCCATTGGATGTTAAATACAGAACTGTAGCCACAAAACAAATTATACTTTATAAACCACTTAAAGTCCAATGTTCCTCTTGTTTTCCCCCAAACAGGAAGGTTTAAGCTTGTTATATTCATCCTAGTCATATACGTTTTGTGTTGCAGATTGTTCCAACTCATCTTTAAAACCATATGATGATTTTAGACAACATTCAAACACACCTTCATGTTTTTCCCTATATGTAAATATTGTGTGCATCATATAAAATCCCTACAAATACTATTTGGTTATTCCACTTGAATCAAATGTGTCTATATAAGTGTTTGAGTAAAGTGTCACTGATCAGGTAGCGGAAAGCTGCTTTTACGGTGGAAACACATCTTAGAAGCCTTAAAGGCGATAAAATAAACAGAAAAGCAGCCAGCCTGCAGCATTAAACCTCTGAGCATGATCCCTTTTTCTCGTTTATCAGCGGGACATTCCTGATCAGCGCGCCGTCAGCCACGCGCACGAGTCCTGCTGTCAGATAACGCGTGCTTCCCAACATCAGAACAGAAATAACGCATCTGCCGGATCATGCGCTACTTACTCGTTTGCCTCCATCGTCTTTCTCTCTATAGCGGATGCCATGTCCGCTGATGTCCAGCTGGATCGCGAGGAGGCTTCTTTTTTTTGTTGTTGTAGCGGCTGTACCTGCTGAGCTGCCTGCGGGGCCCCCCGGAGCCACGACACGTCGCACCTGCTCGCACAGCCTTCAATCAATTGCCGGTGCAGGTCCCGTGGAAACGGCCGCGAGACGAGACAACGACGCGGTACAAGCTGCTGCTGCGCGGTGATGGAGGACACGCTGTCACCATTTCCTGAGGCAATAACCCGCAGGGGACACTTTTGTGTCTCTCAACTGTCTTTTTTTCCCCTTTAAACTTTGCGGACTGCACGGTCGTTCCGATCGAACGGGACGCTGTGGCGTGGGGAGGGGGTGCGTGGGGGGACCGGGTGTCCGTGTTGGTGACGCGCTCCTCCGTCGTGAAGCACCGCGGTCACCGTCAGTGCGCGACGGCGGCATCGGGCTTAAATGCGTCGCGCCCCCCCTCTCTCCTCCCCTGCCCTCCCCTCTCTCCTCCCCCTCCTCTCGGTCTCTGCTTTCGTTTCTCTCTTCCTGCTCACGACAATGAGGGGAAATCGGTCTTAAAGCGACAGCCAAACACTGCTGCTCTGTCGGGGGCCGCGGGGGGTGCCGGGGGGGACTTTGGGTCGTGACTGAGACTAATGAGGTCGTTATGGGCTTTGCTTCACTCCAAGCGCCGAAAGAACAACAGATAAGAAGTGGGATGATCATCGGTGCATGTGTAGTCTCCCGATCACAGTGCGTCTCAGTGCCTCCCTGTAGAAAATAGGCTCTCAAATTATATTAAATGCCTTTTGTTTAGTTTTACAGCGCTGATGGGTTTTAATCGTTGCAAGAATATAAAAATATAGATGAATTACACCAGTTTCTTTGTATATATGTATATATTGTATATAAATAAACTTCATCACGTCATCACATCATGAACTGACCAGCAAATTGCAGGGAAAACATCATATCCCAAATGATATCACATGGATAGGTGACAATTACGCTTGTTATAAATGAAACGTTCATAATCTATTTCTTCACCCGAGATTGTAAAGTGAAGGGTATCATTTAAACAGTACACCTGTTGTGCACAACAGCTATCAGGTTATGCATATTGGCATAAACAAATGATTTTGTGAATTCTTAATAATCTAACCATTACAGCTTCGAATGTAAAAAAAAACATTTCCAGCTGATATAGTTGAGTGTAGGTAAACACTCGACTAGATCCTGAAATGGTGGAACCATCACATCTTCCGCTGCAAACTAAAGACACACCTCTTCAGACTCTACTTCGACTAAAACGACTAACAAATTGTAGCACTTAAATTGTCTTATAATGGCTCTTATCTATAGCAAGTTGTTGTAAATCAGCCTATTTATTAAAATTGTACTTTCTTGTTTCATGTTCTTTGGGGATTGTATCCTTATGGTTGAAATGTATTTATTGTAAGTCGCTTTGGACAAAAGCGTCAGCTAAATGACATGTAATTAAAAAACAGGTATTTTTTTCAAAATGCAAAATTATTGAATTGTAGTTTGCTTTTCTTATTATTCCCCTCTATGTGGGTCTGGATTACAAGATAGGCCTAAACACTGCAGAAGACTAATACCCCCCAAATAGGTTCTTGTGAAAGTCGTCCCTATGAGGAATGAATGCAATGATATTTCTACATAGTTGGTGTCCTTGCAGCCTTCCCTTTTGAAACCAGAGCTGCTGTGGGCTCTTCCTCTTATCTGCTGCCAAAGCCTCGGGGCTGCCTGCAGGAGGGACGCACACAGACAGCAGTTGGACTGGACCGAGAGATAAAGCACCTCAGCCAGATGCAACAGAGGAAGATGGCAGGCAAAGTCTGAATTCGGCCTGACTGCATCCTTGGCGGTTGTTGGACGTTGTATAGGCTCACTGGAGGGAAACCAAACTGAGAGGGCCGTGAGCGAGGTGACCGCGGCCCTGTTCACTGCCAGCTGCACAGACAGAGGAGCAGCTTGACATAAAGATAAAACTCCAGCCAATTATACTTTAAATGAAAAATATTCTCATTGATTGGTTTGCGCATTTTGAATTTATTGAGGTTGAATGTATCGGACACATGAATTGGGACAATTCAATATAGAATCATTGGCCTCAGCAGGGAAATTAAAATCAAGTTGAGTGGGTTTGTTTTGTGTTTGTTTGCAGAAGAGTCCTTGTAAATATGAACACACGGGATCGTGCGTGAAGGTCACTGGTAAAATAATGTCTCAACCCTCCAAAATATCATGTAGCTCAGAGCAAGTTGATGACAGACAAGAAATAAGAGAAGAGAAAGTCAGATCTGATATGACACCCGACTCATCAACTTCTTCCTGTGGGGTCGACTGAGAACGCCCGAAGGATGTGCACAAATGATGCTTTCCTGGGGGGGTTGGTGCACACTGCACTCACTTCCTTACCCCCCCCCCCACCCCCCCATAAAGAGAAAAAAACATGGACGCACACCGGCCTCAAAGAAGCACCTCTTGGGGGGTCTCCAATAAAGAGACACCCGATGTTCGCTGTGTGATATAGGATTAACACAGTTTATCTGTGACTTCAGGCTTCCTAAATATCACCAGTAACACACTGCAATCTCCTCGTTTCAATTTGAATTATAAATTAGGTTTTTAGATCCATTTTGTCCTGCTTTTTCTGCTTTTATTTCAAATGTAAAGTTTGGGGAGCAAATAGTTAAGAACTATAGACAACCTTTTGGGAAGTGGTGTCACTCATGTCCAGCTTCCTGTTTTGCCTTTTTGGTACTGGGGCCCTTTTGGAGTTGAGAGCATGTGTGGAATTCGAGGGCAGCTGGAAATTGAGCGTCAGCACAAAGCAAACGGCTGAATTTGACTTAACAGCTACTTCTTCCATTATTCAGTAAATAATGTGCATTACTAGAAGTCACAAACGCTCTAAATAGTAAAGTATGGCAAGGCTGACGCAGTATATGAAACCATTTTCCACCATCGTGATGAGTCAATCTATTAATTAGTAAGCTAAGAAAGGTGTGTATCCGCATATCATGCACTATCTGAACACATACATGCAGGCCCACTTCCTGGAATAAATGCATCATGGATGTGTTGTTGACACTGTCTTAGCAAAAACGGTGGAACCGCAACAGCAATGCCAACCGCTTCCTTCCTAATCTGAAGTGAAGAGATAATTAGCAACAGTTTCAAAGCCCTCGTCCTCAACGTTCACAGGCCTACTGAGGTGACGTTTTATTGTTCACTGGTTCCACATGGATGTAAATTACCGTGGGATTTCATTGTTGGTTTTAAAATGTTACGGTGTAAAGATCAGAGGTCAGACGAGGAAACTCCCTGGAATTCTTTTGGATAATGGCCGGTGGACTGTGTTGTCGTTTGATTGAAATACAGCAGGCTGCGGAAATGAGTCACTCATTAAGGGGGCGCTTCGCTTACCCTCGGGATCCTCCCATTATCAGTGTTATCCCTAAAACAAAAACACTTTCAGTGGAACAGTGCAATCAAAAAGCCGTGCAGCCATGTTAACTGCTTCCTGTATTTGGCTAAACAAAAGAAAGCTGGATTCACATTCTTCTGGTTAACATGCTCGCCTGAAAACGCCAACGAAGCAAACAAATAAAAATAAAAATGCAGCCCCAAATATATTGGAAATGTTAGATACCTAAAAGTATTCCCTTCTTTTCAAAGTGTTTCCGTGTGTGTCAGACAAAAATTTAAATTGAAAGGACTGTAAGTCTACAAGACTGTGAACTATGTAAACTTACAGTCCGTTAAATACTTATTCTCTAATCAACATTTCTGCGTCATTTGTTATTGTTTAACGCAGTGCTAAGCTTCACTGCCCCCTACTGGTTTAAGGTGGTAGGACAGATAGGAGCATCGCCAGCACGTCTCCAACCACCAGTGTTCATCCATATATCTGAGACTTTCTATTGACCTATATAATTATATGATAATGAATTGGCAAGATTAAAATTGCATCTTCAAACTTCCTAGTATAATTAAAAAATGCAAGAGTTTGCTAACTTGGAGCCAAGAGAACATGGACGTATGAGATGCTGAAGGATGGTTGATGGTTGGTTGTAAAACTCGCAGGTCAATATTTGTTTGCACGAACAACATATTATGATGAAAATGTGTTATTGTGAGCACTCTCTTATACTGAGAATTCAAACCAGCAACATTGCAAGGACAATTTTCAAAAGTCATTTTACGTGCTTCTGGATTTAGCACACAAACATTAATTTCTTCAGAAGGGAGAGAACACATGGACAGCACAGGGAAAAGAGTTCAGTAACTCTGCTCATGAACAAAATGGTCAACCAATTGTTCAGGAAAAAACAGTAACCAACCAACTGTAACCAGTTCTATAGACCATTTCTGAGCATATTTAAACTAAATAGGACTATCATTTACAAATGTATTATATTTACTTCACAAAATAATCCGGACAGGTCAGACTTACTCGGGTTAACCCAAACAGCACTAGATTTTTTAACACAGCATGCACCCTTTTTAGATTGGGCACACTTATGTATTATTGTATTTCTATAACTTGTGTTGTTCTCGAAATTGTCTTTTTAAAATATCTATATTTTGGTTTTAAACTTATTTTCAAAGCAGTTACTGAAATGTAACTTAGAATTGCAACTTTGAACAAAGTATTTTCAGTGACAGTCATCTTCAGAAATGTAACTGCCCAATTCTATGTTAAACTTGAACTTCAAACCGATGTGCAAAGGATGTTACATCCATGTATTCTCATGAGTAATGGGTGTAGTTAGGCAGCTACGAACCATATCAGCGCATGTTTAGAGCGGGATGAGACAGCTGCTGAAGAAAAACTGTATGTGGCACAGAAAGGAAGAATAGAATAGCCGAATCAAAGCAAATGATTGTGCAGAATTTCTTCCAAGTGGCTGTTGACTTTTATGCCTGATCACAAACATCAACATGGCAAGTCAAGTTATTGACCTACTAGCCTATGATAAAATATTAAATTACTTTGTTTCTAGTTAGAGATGTAAATATTTCTGTTAATAAATGTACACTCTGGTGAGGTTGGTTTTTGTGTTTTTTCTGTTCAGGTATATCTTCGACAGCTAAAAACGGACCTTCGCCTTTATAAAGAGTTTCTCAGTCTTTCGTGCCGTCTCAGTTGTCGGTGAGGCCGGCGGGGCGGATCCCACATTCGAGTCAAAGAGAAAATAAAGCAACACCATAACAATAATAACAACTCGGCCGATTCGTACAATTCGCTAGCAAGCTCCCCCGTGGATACATACCATCAAGGTGGGTGAATCCGTAGTCGTGCTATCAAGGTAACGCCGCTCCGTCCGGCTGCTGTTTAGCACGCGTCGCTGTAGCTACCGGACATCCAAGCTAGCATGCGTGAAGATGCTACCTAACGTTAAGTCTGTGCTAACGGTTGTGCAGCAAGGGCCGTTTTTTACCAAACCTCCAAGATTACAACGCCGTGTTTTCCGCACTGTTAGAGTAAATCTTAGCCACACGCCGGCTGTTGAAGATACTGCTTCGTGGCTGCAGTTGTTAGTGGAGAATACTGTTTAAAAAAACGGAGAAATTCGGATTTCAAATCAGTCCTCCCTTCAATTCACACACCGTTCAGACCAAAGTTAGCTAACGTTAGTAGCCACGATGAAAGGGGGTTTGAGATTTAGGGGATGTAGTGACTACTGGTTGACATATTTCGTTATGAAGCTAACGTTATATTTCATGTCTATACATCTTTTCAACCTAACTTACAGTTGTGCACCACCTGTAGTACATAATTAGTTGTTACTTTCTGTTCTATATCAATTCCCTCTTCAGACTCTTGCACCACTTTCCTTATTCTGCAGATTACGATGTTTTCAACAATGAGGTGTTCTTTGAAATTCGATTCTTGTGACATTTATCTTTTCCCACTGCAACATGCAATCTGGCGTTATCTCGTCTATAGATCTGATGGTTCGGAAATTGACCAATTAACTGTAAGAACAGCAATCAGCGATGTTTTATGTTATTTTGTCAAAATGCCAAAACGTGTTTGCCAGTTTTTTTTCTTTCTGTTTTGAAAAGACTACTCTTCATGTTTTGGACATTTGGGCATTTTACTTATTTTTTAGTGATACAAAGATCCTACCTCCTCTCTCCTGATATTGACATTGATACCGAACACAGCGTAACAATAATAATTGCTCATCCAAACATCTTTTACTTTCATATTTCCTAAATTTGATATCAATATTTTTCTACTGCATGAAGTTACTTGTTTTGACATACATATGACTGAGTTGTGGGCTTGGCTGTAGTAATGAATAACAATATTGACAAAGATAAAGAGTAAAGAGAGTATTTGCATTCTCCACTATCATTGAACGTTTACAGAGCAAGTGATTAATTCAACTGAGAAAAATATTGACATAATAATCCATATAGAAAGTAATCTGAATCTGCATCGCTAATTTCATGATATTGTCCACTATCGTGATCATGTAGCGTTTAATGATGTAAACGTCTATTCAGCCATAGTTGTGACATATTTCAACTGATTCTGACATTTCTTCTCTAATAATCCTTTGTGTATTTTGTGTATATACAATATCTATATATCAAGACATTTTATTACCAACAGAAGTTCTTTTTCTAACTTTAACTGTTCACACTTTACCTTCTAGATGCCCTCAGCGATGAACGCGAACCGAACAGTGCAGTCTGCCAGCCCAGATGTGGGATCCGCTCCAGGGTCAATGGGCAATTTTGCACTTGGTGGACAGGCTGAAGTTTTGAAGCAAGTGCTGTGTGTCCTCGACAAGAAGGTTCGCAACTTGGAGAAAAAAAAGGTGAGTTGGTTTGAGAGCAATTTGATCCGGATCCTTTCTGATAACTACATTCCTAGGTGTCTGTTGTGTACATTATGAGGATTTTGCAAAAACATTTGTCCCCAGATTTAGAAGGTTTTATTCATTTTTATTTTTCTATGGCAGAGTAAACTGGATGACTATCAAGTCAAGAAGGATAAAGGGGAGCGTCTCAACCAGGACCAGCTGGTGGGTGCATTGAAACAAATAATCCTGTTACGATTTAAACTACATTTACAACCTTGCATCCTCATGTGCCTTTTGCCTTCCAGGACGCACTCACCAAATTCCAGGAAATCACCTATAACTTGGAATTTGGCCGAGAGCTGCAGAAGACGTTCATCACACTGGGACAAGATGTAAGGATGACTATCTTTCTTGTGTGAAACTGTTCCCTCAGAGGTTTTTTTCACCCTAACTTTTAGTAACTTGACTTTATGTGGTTAAATCATTAGATCCAGAAGGTGGTGAAGAAGTCTGCACGGCGGGAGCAGCTGCAGCGGGAAGAGGCAGAGCAAAGGAGGCTGAAGACCATTTTGGAGCTGCAGTTCCTTCTGGACCGGCTGGGAGAGGACAATGTGCGGCGGGACCTGAAGGAGGGAGTTGGCGGCTCACCAATGCTGACGGATGCGCACCTTGCAGCTTTTGATGAGTTCTACAAGCTAGTGGGGCCAGACCGTGACCAAAGTGTCAGGTGGGTCAGAGTAATTGATTTCTGAGTGCAGTTGAGATGCCAAAGCATTGTTTCTTTTTCACCAATGGAAAGGCATACATCTTGTATCTACACACGCAGGTTGGTTGACCGGTATGAAGAAGCATCTGTGCACCTCTGGGACCTACTGGAAGGGAAGAACAAGGCTGTGGTCGGGACAACATGTAAGTGACATTTCACATGGCGCCTAGGAATGATTGAGAGCAGTAGAGCTCAATATTTTTGTAACAATTGCTTTAACTTATTATTTTTGGCTCAGTTTATTTTGCAGCGAAAATGGTTTGTGATTTCGCAGATTTAGACGAAACAAGCCATTTGTAGACAATAACTCGTCACGACAATGATTAATCAATTCATGGACAAAGCAACTGCAGATCAGTGTTGAATTATTTGTGGCAAATCACTGTAATAGCAAAAATTAAGTTGACATAAAAGGATTTATTGTTAAACAAAACTTGACTTATGTTTAGGGCTGTCACGATATCAAATTTTTGTCGTGCGATTATTGCACCAACATTTATTGCGATATACGATATTGCAATTTTCAAACTATTTTATGCCACTGATAACATAATGACAATATAATAACATAGTAACAAAAGTACAAAGAATGTTTTATTTGTCAGTATAGTTGGACATTAGATTCGCAATATGAAAAAAATATCCTAATTAAAATTAAAATAAGTGCAAGAGACACGGAGCAGGCAAAGCATCGGGCTTGGTGCGATGTGGTCGGGTTCGAGAAAATGTGTCCAGCGCGCCGCGCAGCCGGGGAGGTTTAACCCGTGGCTTCGACCGCCGGCAGGGCGACGCGCTCCACGACTGCAGGGAGAGACGGAGGAATGCAGGGTGGTGGTCTATCGCAGCACCAAAGATTATTGCACGCGATTTCAGAGAGTGCGATATGTCATTTTATCGCATATTGCGACAAGCCTTCTTATGTTGATTCTCAGAGTTGGAAAATTAGTTTGTAGGACATTTTCTTGGATGGTTGCTGCCACGGAGCTCTTTTATTGTGACGAGGCTGAGCATAACTAATTTGTCAGAAACTGTTCACCCAATGATAAGTAAAATGTTCAAATGATCTAAACATGACCTTACTCTATAAGGCACTGCAGTCAGTGATATGTTAGTGTGGCATTGTATCTTGTTAATGCTGCTTGCGTGCAGTGCTGTGATGCAAAAATTGGGGCTCTGGGCGTACTGCATTCTCAGCGATCCCGCCTCTCAACTCGCCGTGCTGCATTCTGCTTGGGCTGTGTGTGGGCTTACCCTGACTCAGCAGCGGGGCAGCGTGCCAGCGGCCCTGCCGCCTGTGGTTCCACTAGTAGGATCTCTGGAGCCACGTTAGGATACTGGTGACCCAGTTCACTGGGGTGACACCGGCCAACACGTTGCCCTCAGTAAGGAGGTCTCACTCGGGGTGATACTTATTCAGGCATCAGCAGACTTGTTGGCTTGAAGCCTGAGGCAGTGAAGGAAATAGCTCTGACCTGCTTCGCCAGTGGGCCCAAACAGCCCGAGCAAGCTTAAAGGCTCTTGTAGTATTTTCTAGTAAATCACAAGTCCTGATTGTTTTGCTATCATATTTATTATCTATCTACTTTTTATCCCATATTAGGCATCGGTGGACCTATGTGAATGCTGCCATAGCTTTAAGGTCCTCATCTGTGGTGCCTGCCAAAAGAGTGCAGTGCAGTCCGTTATCCAGATAGACTCAACCTGTTATAATGGTAGGGGAGACTTTGATCTGGTTTTGTATTCTGCTCACAGCGGTGAATAAAAGCCCTCTATTTAGTTTTGCTTGCTGAACGGAAACAACCTTGTGCTTTCATTCACTTTGCTTCTCTTTGTACGAGGTGATGTTTCCACTTGTATTAGCTGTTGGGTCATTGATTTTTGTTTTTCTTCTGCTGTCCAACAAACAGTCCAAATCCCAAAGATAGTCCCCTTGCTATGATAGAATTCTACAACTATTCAAGTTTGGCATTGCCATCTAACCGACAACGCAACAGTGGAGATTATGTTTTGAGATTACATTGGGTGGTGTTGTGTCCTATTTTTTAAGGAGTCGTTTCTTCACTTATGAAAGAACGAATATATTTATTAGCCCCTCACTAAGTCCCAACCCAGGATCGCACCCTGATTCTTACCATTGATACCCATTACCTGTGGACGTTAGAAGGAGTTATGCTCTGCTAAAATGTTTTTTTTTAATGTTAAAACTGAGTGAGCTAACATGAGGAGAGAAGGTTATTACAACATTAACTAGCATTAGCAGAAGGGTTTACTGAGCACAAGCTGCATTTAAATGATTAATAAACGGTAAATTAAACTGTTTTGACTCTATGGCCAGATGGTGGTGGGTTTCACCTACGCTGGGGTCAGTCGGCTTTTACATTTCTAGTTTTCACTGCTGAATCAGATGTATCCTCCAAATGCATATTGTACATTATTCTGTCTGCTCGACACTAAAAGTGTATATGTTATACAAATATTAGATATTTCTTCGTGACCTTCTGTGTTCCCAAGCCTGACTCAGAAGCAGCAGCCAACAACATTGTTTGATTGTTGTGATTTATTTCAAATTGAATTGCTCTCTATTCTTTCCTTCCTCTCCTAGACAAGGCATTGAGAGAGACTTTGGACCAGGTTATGCTGAGTGGGTACTTTGACCAGGTGCCATCTCACCAAAACGGAGTGTGTGAGGAGAAAGCGGCAGAAGAGGCAGAGGCGCAGGACCAAGCCTCAGCAGCGACGGTGGCTGAAGCAGCAGCAGCCCCTGCTGTCGTAGCTGAATCGTCAGAAGCAGAAGAGCAGAGTCCGACTGCTGATCCAGGTCCTGATCACTCTCTGAAAACATGCTCCGTTATACTTCTACTGTCTTTTTAAATACTCACACAATGAATCTTCAACGATGTCTGCGCTGCTTTCTCTAAATGAATAGTTCTTCTCTTTACAGAACCGGAAGTAGTTGAGTTCACTGATTCCATCGCGGTGGAAAAAACAGAGGTGAGATTAATTGTCCCATTTCTAATAGTGTTTTAGAAACTAGGGGTGGGGGAAAAATCAATTTTTCGATTTCTCTCGATTCTCTCTAGAATGATTCGGTCTAGATTAAGAAAAGTTAATAATCGGAATTCAAAAAAAAAATTCTGTCTCGCGCGAGATATTTGCTCGCTCGCGGAGCGTGAACTTCCTCGCTCGCGAGGTTAATCTCTGCTCGCGCTCGAAGGTGTTTTCTACGCGCTCGCTGTTTTTCTTTTTGACAGTAAGGGGGCGGAGCCAGTCACCATGGTCTCTACACCTGATTGGTTACAAACCCCGTCTTTGGATTGGCTGGAGTGATGCATTCACAAACTATAGAAGCCCATTTAGGCACAAATGTAAGGGGATAAAAAGTCGAAATCATGAGATAAAACGTTGTCAAAAAACAAACGCCCCCCTTCGGTAATCGTAGTGGACCGTAGATGACAACCAGCTACAACCATCATTTACCATCATTACCGGCACATTAAGAGCGATGCGTCCAGCTCGCAGACTGAATCTGAATATCTAGTAACTTTACCGAACTATGGAGGAGCCTGCGCATATCTTACCTCATTATTTCGATTTTCCAAAAAGTCGATCCGTATTGAAAGTTGGCAAGATATTCAGATTTGGACTTTTTTCCGGAATTTTACAAATACGGACCGGTCTGAGACTAAGAGCAGCTTTTTATTCATTTAAAAGAAAAACTAATCGGTTTAATATTTTTTTTTTACATCGGCTACTTCCATATTGTGTTGAAATGCAAGCTGCATTGGTTCTTGCATTGTTGATAGAAAATCATATTTGTGACAAAGATTTTTTTTTTTCTTATAAAAAATTAGAGAAGGTAATTCATCTGTTGATTTTCTTTAATTATCAAATAAAGTAGGAAGTGATTAGCAAACTCGGATTTGAGAAAATTTTGAAAATCGAGATGCATCGATAATCGTTTTATCAGTTTAGAATCGAATCGTTGACCTGGGAATCGAATCGTGAGGTGCCAAGAGATTCCCACCCCTATTAGAAACAGCTGGTGTTATAATCTTTTTGCATAATGCTTATTTTTGTTCTTTCTTTCCTTCCACTAGTTTATAAACAGACAGTTCATTCCAGACGGCACATACAGCGGCAGCGAGAAGGAGCAGGGGGACGAGTGGGCCACGGAAACAGAGGTAGGTTGCCGGGGACCTTCTGTTGATCAATGTTTCTCCTGCTGTAGATGCAGACACACAAATGACCATTAAACCAAAACCAAATACTCTTTGCTAGACTCTGCAATGTGGCTGCTCCTGTTATCACATGACAGCCGCATTTTAGAAGGTCATTTGCAGGGTTTTCTTGCATGAATGAAAACGTCTACAGAATCCTGCAAATGGTTGTTGTTGTAGCTGCAGCCACATAGTCAGTAAGGCAACAGTGTCCCTGAAAGAAATCCAGTGTACCGTGTTTTATAAGGCAGCGAACTGAATGTGACATTTGCAAGTAGTAGTAAGTACGGTCGGTACGGTAGTCTGTGTACGTCCATGATTATTTAGTATAAGATTTGATTTTATAGTTTTTACAATTCCACCTCAGCATTGAAGAGCTGGACGGTGGACTTGGTTATAGTTAGTTAGTTTATTTGTACACCAGCTGGCTTTTAAGGGAATGTTATTAAAAACACATGAGTATAAACCTCTATGTGCACATTCGGTGCTCACGCACCACTTTTTGGCAACTGTCATCCAATAACCCCCATACCATTTCTCAATCATTGTCCGTCCTGTAGGTTCCTTATTCGCCTGTTCTGCCTGTCTTCCACTCTCAGGCAGTCAGTGCCGTTCAGCAGCAGCAGCAGCAGCCGCCGCCTGTGCAGCCTGCAGCTTCACCTGTTGCCCCGGAGACCCACCCATTGAACTTGGTGTCTCCCGTGCCGCCCACTGACCCCCTGGTCAGGAAGCAGGTGGTGCAGGACTTAATGGCACAGATGCAGGGAATGTACAACTTCATGCAGGTGGGAACTTTATGCTGTTATAACAATCGTTTACTGTAGATATGGAGCACGTTGCTCATCAAGTCTCTTCTCTCAGGACTCTATGCTGGAGTTTGACGGACCCATTGACCCGGCCATTGTCTCATCACAGCCTATGAAACCTGCTCAGAACATGGACTTACCACAGATGGTGTGCCCTCCAGGTGAGAGAAACTTAGTTCTGATGTCTTGTATTGTGTAAGCATCATACTGAATAGCTTAAAAGGACTTTTCTGGTTTACCAAGTTGCAATAAACTTCTTAGCTCACCCAGAGTCCCGGCCATCGCAACCCAAAACTGTTCCTGTCCAACCGGACACCACACAAGTAAGCATTCAAGCTGACACGGACAACGCTGATTGTAAGGCCACTTGAAAGATATTTTGAGAGGGGATGTTTAATTTTCGCTCTGTTTGCAGGTTTCCATTGTCTCCCCGACTCCGCCCCCCATGTATCAGACTTCACACACGCCCGATCCTCGACCCTCTACAGAAACCATCGACCCCATCCAGGTAAACATTCTGCTCTGTGAAAGACTTTGTGTGGAAAAAGTTAGTCCTTGTTAAATATTTGATTCAGCCCGTAAAATGACCAACTTCTGTAAGTATTTAGTTGATTTGAATAGACCAAATACCAAGAAAATTATCTCAGTTAATTAGCATCTTATCTTCATCATATCTTTTCATCCTGCTGTAAAGAAACTGAATCGAAGGCTATTAAATTGAGAAATGTTTTGACCTGTTGCTTGTTTCCTGTCTTTGACAGACGTCCTCATCGTCGGAGCAGCCCTCTGCAGCTCACCCACCGGTTTTTCAGCCTGGTTCCAAAGCTCCACACAGCAGTGGCATCAATGTCAACGCCGCCCCATTCCAGTCAATGCAGACCGTAAGGGAAATTGTCACAACGCTTATTGAAATATTGCCCATTTTATCAAATGGTTTTCGGATTAAAAGCGTTTCATGTTTAATGTGAAGATTTGGCCCGTCATGCAGTTAAACAAGGGCTCCGCAGGACTTTGTGTACCTTTCTGTGGAATTAAAATGACTGACTTCCATTAGAAATTGCTTATTGAGTCCTTCAGTGCCCTCTCATCAGATTGCAGTTGTACGGATTTGTAGTGAAACCAGGAAATAATGAGTAACCGACTTAACTCATAATGAGCTTTTGTCCTTTCCACTGGTTTTGGCCTGAACAATATGTCTCTTGTTCTCCTCTTAGGTGTTCAACCTCAATGCCCCGGTCCCACCAGCTAATGAGACGGAGGCTCTGAACCAGGCCAGCCAATACCAGAACAGCTACAACCAAGCCTTCAGCAGCCAGCCGCAGCATCCTGTGGAGCAGACCGAGATGCAGCCAGAGCCACTGCAATCTGGTGGGTTGACTTTTAGTTTCCTTCATCATGTATTTGCTTGATTTGAGTTTGCCAGATTTCCCTTACGGACTTCTATGTGAATACTGTGGTTTGACTGACTGAAGACTTTCTGGGGGGAAAACAATTCTGTGTTTGTTTGGTTGTTTTTTAGTAGTTGGTGCCTTCCATTCCCAAGACCAGTCGGGAGGCCATCAACAGCCTCCGCAGCAGGGCCCAGGCTTTGGCCGGCAGGGTCAGTCCTTCTACAACAGCAGAGGCATGTCTCGAGGTGGGCCTCGCAATGCTAGGGGCATGATCAATGGCTACAGAGGCTCATCCAATGGATTCAGAGGTAAGCTGCCACCAATTGGCAACCTGTGGTGCTAAAAAAAGCCACCTTGAAAATGCCAAGAACTGGTGTTCCTGAAATGGCCACCTGAGGCTCCGTTCCAGTTGGCATTATTGAAAGATGGAAACACGTGGTGGGAGTGCTAAACAGTTCATTTTGTGTTATTGTACGGGTGTTTTTTGTTTTGTTATTGTCATTAATTTAGACTAATCTCACATGAGAATCTTTCCACCTTTTTTAAACTGTTCAATCTGTTATTGTCTTGCATTTAATGATACGTATGACAGTTCTGTTATAACAGGAACATGGAGATAATTTAATTCATCTCTATGTATTTAACCTCATGTTCCTGCTTCTGTTGTCTTTAAGTCAAATTTGAAATCATTCCAAGTAGATTCACATTTTTGTGTTTTTTTTTTTTTTTTTGTTAATCTGCTCGGCCGTGTTAGATTGCAGTGACGTACAATAAAGTGACATCTGCATCTAAAATTGTATGTTAGTTTAAACTCTTCTTTCATTAGGTGGCTACGATGGTTATCGTCCTCCTTTCGCCAACACTCCTAACTCCGGTTATGGACAGACTCAATTCAACACACCTCGGGATTACTCAAACGGGAATTATCAGAGGGTATGGAAGAGCCGTTCAGGCTTCACACTGATGCGGTAATGTCATCTTTGCGGTCTCGAGTGGTTTCTAAAATGTCTCTTTCCTTTTCCTCTGTTGCTCTAGGATGGTTACCAACCAAACTACAAGCGGGGAGCTGGCCAGGGACCCAGGGGAGTGTCGAGAGGCAGCACTCAGGCAATACGATCCTGAAAAGGCCTTTTTAAAATGACTGTGACAGACTAACTTGCACCACACTGAAAATTCAAAATTCAAGAATGCATTTGCCCAAGCTCAATCATGTTCTTTTTTTTTTGTTCTTAGTCAGTGTTTTTTTTTCCTGTGTCTCAGATCAAAGTAATGCCTACTTTTGATATTTGGAAATATTACATAATTTTAAAGTCTGAAACACAAGCTAAGTTGTAAATTCAATCATCAATTTGCATAAGCAATGTGTTAATATTCCTGTAAACTTGAAAGATTTCATAAGTTATTTTTTGTATAAAAATGCACCTGCCACTGCTGGTCCAACCCTTGGGAGTTTATTCCCCTTCTCGGTTCTTTTTCTGTCATTTTGGTTTTAAAAACAGAAAGCGTTTTATGTTCAATGAGCTCCCGTTTCCTTGTTTGTAAATTGATGTTGCTTCAAGAGTTTCAATAAAGTTGTGTTGCATACTCAAGCTTCCATCTCATTTCTCTGCTGTTTAGGAAAGACATGACTCAGTAAAAATGTTAAATAAGTTATGTGAAGGATCATTCTTTTCCAATAACTGTGTTCTCAAGCTCTTTTATGAGTTTTATTACAGCAGCATTTAGCTCGTATCACTTTGGAAAAAGGGTTCTACTTTATTTTATTTTTTTAACTGCAAATGTATTGGTTTTGACCCTTTTTAGGTAAATGTAATTCCGTGTATTAACGAATTATTGGCCAACTGCTTTGGAAAGAAACGGCATTATTGTTCACGCAGTGTTCGGCCGCGTGCTGATGGCTTCTTGTTTTTATGCCCCTGAGCTGTGCTCAAAGGGAGAATTCAGACGCAGTTGGCCTCCCGCGTTGGAGTTGCCAGTCATAAAAGAAAATGCCAGAAAACGAGGAATGCACATATATCTTTCAGGAATCCTAATTAAAAGTTTCCAAATGGTTCTCTTTGACTACACAATTTAGTCCAAACTCCCGTGGATAAATGGCCTGTTATCAAACTGATGAAAGCCACAAACTTGACTTCGCTTTGAACATATGCGTTTCATTTTCAGACACTATTATCTCAAAATTCACTTAATCGATCAACAGAGTACGAAGATAGCTGACTAATTTAATTCCAATCGATACAGTCGACAAGTGCACCTGGCAGACGGTACTCTGGGATCAACAGGCTCCGCGTCTGAAACAGTCGCGTGGATATGACGTTGCACCGGGGGGTCCTCCATGAACGGAAGTTTCCACGTGAGTATCAAAGCATGATGCTTTGCATGTAAACTCAGCCTCAGCCTTAAACTTGTTTGAATTTGAAGATTGAACAACAGCTATTCTGTGTGGCAGAAGGTAACTGTCCTTAAGTGTTTGTTTATGTGTTTCCACGTCGCGTTGTGGCGTGAAGTTTGGTTTCCTTGCTGCATTTGCATTTCTATCTATTGTGGCGCAAAGTTAGCTCCAGTCAACCCTTCCCCCCGTTTCATTTTTACAGAACTTTATGGTTTGTACTGCAACCTATATATGTCTCTGTAGTTATAAAGGTTTTCTTCTACATGTTTTCCCCCCGTGACTTCCCTCCAGTTGTAGAAAACAATGGCGACAGTGCGCAAGAAGGTGGACAACAGGATTCGTGTCCAGATAGAGAATGGAGTCGCTCTGCACCATCGGAACATATTTGTGGTGGTGGGAGATCGGGGAAGAGATCAGGTAATACATCCTCCTCGTTCTTTACACACGTTTTTGTATTTGGGGAATCAACCCCGTTAATCTTTTCTTTGCTGCAGGTTGTGATTCTGCACCACATGCTGTCTAAAGCGACCGTCAAGGCACGACCTTCTGTACTGTGGTGCTACAAAAAAGAGCTGGGGTTCAGCAGGTGTGTGTGAATTCATCTTGAGCGCTTGAACTGCTTGTCCTTTAACTGTGTCAAAAAGTAAAACGTGTTTGATTTGTCAAAATGTCTGAAACAGCAATCGTAAGAAGCGCATGAGACATCTGCAGAAGAAGATAAAAACTGGCACTTTGACCCTGAATCAGGACGACCCGTTTGAACTCTTCATCGCTGCAACCAACATCCGATACTGTTACTACAATGAGACGCACAAGATCCTGGGGAACACCTACGGCATGTGTGTCCTGCAGGTGAGTCCTCATTGACCTGTGAGGTCCGACTTTGGGAACCACTGCCGTAGTTGTAGATCGGTCGAACTCTTCCCTTTTCTTTTTTGCCACGCAGGACTTTGAAGCCCTCACTCCCAATCTCTTGGCGAGAACGGTTGAGACCGTCGAAGGAGGCGGTATAGTGGTGATTCTGCTAAGGACTATGAACTCTCTCAAGCAGCTTTACACCATGACCATGGTGAGACCATTACCTCTTCCATCCCCATACGCATCAAACTAGGTTTGCTGGACCTAAAATGCATCTTTTGTTGTTTTCAGGACGTTCACTCTCGATACCGGACAGAGGCTCATCAGGACGTGGTGGGGCGGTTCAATGAGCGGTAAGTGCTCGCCTTTTTTAGGAAATGTTGGTGCATTCGGAGGAAACCCGTTTTCCAATCAGTTTTGTTTTTGTTCCACTGTTTCTAGATTCATTCTGTCTCTTGCGTCGTGCAAAAACTGCGTAGTCATTGATGACCAACTTAACATCCTGCCAATCTCTAGCCACATGGCAAACATCAAGCCCGTCCCCCCAAAGACTCAGGTAATCACATTACAGTCATCAATTAGTTGGTCCACAGAAAAGAATCTGTTGATAATGTTTAAGTAAGTTATCAATTAAATACGAAGACCATTTACTGTTCCAGAGCTCCTCAGAGAATTATCTGCATTCCTGTCATTTTAAAGTGAATCTTTTGGAAATTATGACATGCCTCTTTTCCAGTCAGTTAAACAATCAACATTTTCTTCATGTAATGTTGAAGAAAAAAGCATAACCATTGCTACTTTAATATTTTTAGGTCTGTACATATCCAGTAACAAAAGCACTTTGAAAAGATCTAAATAAATACAATTAGCTTGCCTGTAGGCTACATTTTCACTTATTTCTGACTTTTTGTCCCTTCCCCTTCAGGACGATGGTTTGTCCCCACGAGAACAAGCACTAAAGGACCTAAAGGAGTCTCTCAAGGACACTCAGCCTGTGGGTGTGTTGGTGGATTGCTGCATGACCATGGACCAGGTCAGGAGCTCTCACTAAAGAGCCACTTTACACATTCGCCAAGTACAACCTTCAATGGATGCACCAGTAACATATTAAGAAACAACTCTAAAAGCCCAGAGCAGTGTTCTGCAGACATTACACCTCAGTAGCCCTAATAAACGTAACTTTCTCCTCTAGGCTAAAGGAGTGCTGAAGTTCATTGAGGCGACCTCAGAGAAGACCCTGAGGAGCACCGTGGCTCTGACCGCCGCTCGGGGTCGAGGCAAGTCTGCAGCACTCGGGCTGGCTGTCGCTGGAGCTGTGGCTTTTGGGTACGGATTAGTTTTATCTCATTAAAATGATCATTTTTATTGGTTGCATTGTGTTAGCCTTTTTGCTGATGATGGCCTGACATTGTTTACAGCTACTCCAATATCTTTGTAACCTCGCCGAGCCCAGACAACCTCCACACCATGTTTGAATTCATCTTCAAAGGCTTTGATGCGCTACAGTACCAGGTAGGCTGCCTGAGCTCGTTCTCGACATCCGTGACGGTTATTTCCTGGCGTCAGCAATAACCACTTTATGTCCCCCTTTTTGCATTTGTAGGAGCATCTTGATTATGAAATCATCCAGTCTTTGAATCCAGAGTTCAACAAAGCTGTGGTGCGGGTGAACATCTTCAAAGAACACCGACAGACAATTCAGGTAAACAAGACCACACCCATCTTCTCCGTTATCTTGTATTTACGGTAATTATTTAAATTCTCCTAACTGGCCCTCCTGACCACGTGACCCACAGTACATTCACCCGGGTGATGCCGTGAAGCTGGGCCAGGCCGAACTGCTGGTCATTGATGAGGCTGCAGCCATCCCTCTTCCTTTGGTTAAAAACCTGCTGGGGCCGTATCTGGTGTTCATGGCCTCGACCATCAACGGGTCAGTAATGGAACTGGCTGATATGCACACAGTCACATGCAATAGTGCTTTTGTCCAAAAAGATTCCACACAGTCATTTGGAACTATTATGATCAATCTGGATTTCATGACCAGTGATGTAGAAGCAATACTTATTGGTTATGTTTTGTATGGCTGCAAGAAACAATGTTGTTCTTTATCGTACATTGTTAGCTAAAGAAATAGTCATAAAATATACATTTCATAAACCTAAGTTGACATATTTATAGTGCTTGTTTTGTTTGAACAGTAGACCAAACTCCAAATATATTTACTTCATTACAGTGCTAGTGGAATTAGCAAATATTCCACCTTGAAGCTGAAATTGTTAATATTTCCTTTTTGATTTGATAAATTCATTCTTTGTTTCTACTCAAGCTAAATGCTTTCTTCATCTCTGCAGGTATGAAGGCACTGGGCGCTCTCTCTCCCTCAAGCTGATTCAGCAGTTGAGGCAGCAGAGTGCCGACAGCCAGCAGAACATGTCTGCAAAGAACCGGACCATCGACACAGAGAGGCTGGCAGCCGGTAAATATCTCCCTGGTTTCCTTATGTACGTTATGTCTATATAATGTATGTGTGTATATATATATATATATATGTGTGTACATACATACATAGCACAACAAAAAGTAGTTACTGTGACAGCCCTAGCAGTCTGAGTGAGTGGGAGTCAAAGAAAGAGTTAAACTATGCCTGTCTGTCTGCAGCTCGCTCTCTCCATGAGGTTTCTCTCCATGAGTCCATCCGGTACGCTCCTGGAGATGCGGTCGAGAAGTGGCTGAATGACTTGCTCTGTCTGGACTGTCTGAACATTCCCAGACTCATTTCTGGCTGCCCACTTCCGCAGACGTGTGACCTGTATCCTCCAAAGGCTCTATGTTAACCCAGCTCAGCACACCAGGCTTTTCATTGACTATTTTGACAAACTTTACTATGACTGTTTTTTTTAATGAAACCATATGCAAGTTTAAAGCAAACAGAGTGGTCGCTTCTTCTGGGTTTGTCCTTAATCGGCATGTTTCAGATATTATGTGAACCGAGACACGCTCTTCTGTTACCACAAGGCATCTGAGGCGTTTCTGCAGCGGTTGATGGCTCTATACGTGGCGTCGCACTACAAGGTGATTCATTTGTTTTCGCATAACTTGCTTTTCTTCAAAGAACTCCATTTCCATGACCCAGTGTTAAGTCACTATTGTGTGTATTCACTTCCATTTTTTCTTTGGTCCAGAATTCACCAAATGACCTGCAGATGTTGTCTGATGCTCCGGCCCATCACCTGTTCTGTCTCCTGCCGCCTGTTCCTCCCACGCAGAACTCACTGCCCGAGGTCCTTGCTGTGGTGCAGGTAAGACACTAGTGAAGGCCATTGCATTCGTTTAAAG